TATTACTCTTAAAAAAATTAAATTAAAATAAAGAGGATGTTGTTTTGCCGTGCACCAAAGTGGTGGGGCCCTATATATTAGTTAATTTAATAAGCTCTTTTTGGAAATCATTAAAACCTTCGTGAATCACGGGCACTCTTAAGTTTCATTTGTTTGTATTGTACGTGGTGTAGTAATAGATTTTTCTTTTATTTCTTTACTATCTAAAATATATATTCTCAATTAAACTAAATAAAAAAATATAAAAAATTAATTACTAATAATAAATTTATATTTTAAAAAAAAAAAAAAATTTTAAAAAAACCAAAAAAAAAATGGGAAAAAAAAACCTAAATTGAAAAATTAAGAAGGACAAACAAAAAAAAAAATAAAAAACAAACCCCTCAATCAACAATCACACACAAAAAAAAAAAAAAAAAAAAAAACAGACAAACAAAAGAAAGAGCCACCAAACAAACCCCCAGCGAGAGGAACGAACCGACAAAAAAAAATAGGTAAATCAAAAAAATAATAGCACGAGTAATGCTCATGAACTTCACATCCAACAAATGTTCTTGTTAATTTATTATTATGGAGAACTGGTCATGGTTTCTTATTAATTTAAAGTTTAAATTGAGAATCTCAGAGGAAAAAACTTGTATTCTTGGACTATATGTTAGAAAAATTTTTATTTTATTTGAATAGTTAATTAATTAAATATCAAAATTTATGAAATATAAATGAATTTGATATTGAAAATTTGTATTAAATTAATTACAAATATTATAATTAATGAAATTTAACTTGTATCCTAAATATATATGTTAAATAATCCTTTCTTTTCCTTTTTTATTATTATGGAGAACAGGTCATGATTGAGCACCGACGAGGAAAAAACCCTTGTATTCTTGTCTTCAAAGCACTCATGCTTTTTGACCTAGATTGTGATCCACTGTATTTAGATATAATTAGCATTTTCATTTTTTTTTTTTTGATCTAGGTCGGGCTACACTGTAACTAGTACTGCTTCATTTTTTTAATCAGCAACTGCAGCTTAATTTGTTATATATTAATCTCTAGAGGGCGTTCGGATGAAAAACAAAAATCTCTTGGGCGTTAGTTCTTTATTTAATTAAGATAATTTGCTCCATAAGTTGACCAAGGTAGCTAGGTTTGATTGTTGAGAAAATCGCTAAAGAAATATATGATTACCTAATCCAATCATGCATGACTAGTTCTTTCTTTCTTTGTTGTGTGTGTGTTTTCTTTTTCTTTTTCTTTTTTTCTTTTTTTATTTTTTTATTTTTTTATTATTATTTTTTAACTTAAGAAGTGAGCATGTGAGCTTAGTTGGAGTGTACTATCTATGAAAATAACTCAACATATCACACAATTAATTGATTAAGAAAAAAAATTTACATTATTGAAATTAAAACAATACTTTATAATTTCAATTAAAGTAAACTGTAAGATATTGGTCATTAACTTAAAAATAAGCTCCTAGTGTTACAGGATAGTGATCCATCCAGGTAGCTGATGACACGAGACTCTTGGTGAATTGCATTATGATCTTTTGTTTAGTGCTTCTTGATGGCTTGACCACTAGTCAATGGTTTTCAGTTTCCAAAATTTTTCCCACTCCCACACACACGGTGCCTATTTTCTAGTTGTTTACGATTGAAGATACGAAGTGGGGGATCTGAGTGATCACTTTAAATGTGTGGGGAGATTTAGCGTGGGAAACTTTAATTTCCACCGTTGCTTTTTATTATGGACATGGTTTGTTTGTTTGTTTGTTTGTTTGTTTTGTTTTTTGTTTTTTCTTTTTTTTAATCAACAAGGATATGGTTGCTCAGAATCCACGCAACTTCATTTAAATTTCTCTGTACTTTCTTTCAATTTCACTTTTATAGTTGTTGTCTATGTGACTGCTATTTACACTCGTCCTAAAGCCTTGGTAATTGACTCGGTACTAAGATATATGTCTTGAAATTTTAAAAAATTGATAACTCAAATCATTGTCCATTGGTACGTATGTATATTTTGTTATTTTTTATTTTAATGATTCAAAAACCAAATTTGAATTAAAATAGTACTTAACTTGTTTGTGAAATAGAATATTTATTTGCTTTACCAGTAAATTAGAATATATAACTTGTGATATTGAATTGATTTGAATTGAAATATTTATTTGATTCACTTGTGAATTGGAATATATAACTTGATATATTTTTAATAATATTGAATTGATTTCTAAATATTATGTTTTGAACATATTTCTTTTTTAGTGGAAGCCTATTTAATTGTGTGATCATATATTCAATATATTTCCTTTGTTGTGGGTAGCAAAAACATAAACTATATTCTAAAGTTGAGTTTCCAACCCCTAACACAAGGTTTGGAACCCTTAATAATTTTGTTTTTGGTGTGATAGTGTAGGATATTGCTCAGGTTCCAACCCTTCATACTGAAGGCTTTGAATAACTTACCATACTTAAATAAGAGCGAGAGATGAGAGAGAAACCTAGAGTCAGAGAACCTTTTCTCCTTCACAACCCAAATCACCGATCTTTGGCAGGGGGTCTTCCTCCTTCAGAGATTGGTGGTAAACCTGAGTGGCAACCGGCGAGGGAGAGAACCAATCAAAACCAGAAACCAAATAATTAGAGAAGTGGATACACGAGTGCAAGAAAAGCGGACAGAAGAGAATGGATGATTCAGGAAAAGAGAAGGGATGGGTACGGTAAAGGGATATTGAAACAGGCTACCTCTTTTTTCATTGCAAACTTCCCTGAGGAGTGGAGGCCGGAAGATATGTGGAAGGAGTTTAAGAGGCTTGGTAGGGTGATTCACATTTACATAGCAAACAAGAGGGATAAATGGGGCAGAAGATTCGGCTTTGTAAGATATTTGGATGTTAAAATTCACAGGGAGATGGAACTGAATTTAAGTAGAATAAAGGTGGGCAAGTGGAGACTTCAAGTGAATCTTGCAATGTACAATGAGGAAAATGGATCGGTGGGGATGAGTAGGAGAGAGAACAATGCAAAAGCAGGCTCTAGTAAGCAAGTGGATCCAAATGTTGTAGGAAAATCCTATGCTAATGTAGTAAGAAACAACAAGCAGGTGTTTGAAAGGAATGAAATGATGGGAAAATGTTGGACTCCAAGGAAAATCCATAAGGAAAAGAAGGAGATGTCTGAGATGGGAGAGGTAATAGAATGCTAGTCGAGTTCGGATATGGAAGAGTGGCTAAAAAACTGCTTTGTTGGCCAAGTTCATAAGTTGCAAGCACTTGATGAGCTGAAAGACAAAATCTTGATTGAAGGTTTCTTCTCAATCAACATTGTTCTAATGGGGGGAAACCTCGTGCTAATATACATTGAGGATGATGGAGAAGTAACGAATTTCCTCAAGGAAGGCGGTGAATGGATGGCAAATGTAAGACCATGGGGTATAAAAGACGTGACACAAAAGAGATTCACATGGATCCGTTGTCATGGGGTTCCTTTGAATATATGGAATGAGGAGAACTTCATCAAGATCGGAAGTGTATGCGGACGAGTCGTTTTGGTAGACCATAATACATTATCCAAAAAACGAATGGATGTGGGCAGAATCCTTATCTCTAGAACATCAATAGAAAACATTGTTAAGATTCTCAAGATTAAAGTGGGCAATGAATTCTTCCAAGTGAGCACCTGTGAAGACGCAAGTATTGAGGATGTCTTCAAACCATGCTATCGATTGGAGGAGGATAAAGATTCTAACAATGAATCATGGATGGAGGACTGTTTCTTATAGCATAGCAGTTCAAAATGGGATGGTATGGATTTAGAAGAGCTGGAGGAAAATATTCAAGAAACTCAAGCAGAAAGTTTTGTCTTGAAAGAAAGAGGTATGCTGGATAGGGAGGCCGATTTCTCGTCGGCGGTAGATGGCAAGAAGATGATCGTTGTAGTTGAAAACACATCACAGTCAGAAGGGGAAGTAGAAATGGTGGCTGACTTGATTGTCGAAACCAAAGAAGGAGTGGCCTACAACTGCCCATTGATGATGCTAGCCACTATGCCTAAGGAACCTATGAATGAGGTTAACTTCCCAATGGAGAATGGAGACGAAAAAGCAAAAAATGAAGAAAAGATTGAAGCAGATAGAGCTAGCAACAATGAGCCCCATATAAGCCCATTTGGTTTAACTCATAGTAAGCCCACACGAGTAAGTGCTAGTGGGCCAAATAATGTTAAGTTTAGCCCAGATAAGTGCACCAATAATTATGTGTAATCAGAGGAGGTTATAAGCCATTTTAATAAAAAAGAACCTTTTGGAAAGCAACGAGAAAAAACAGAGCAATCAAGAAACACAGGGTTAGCGATAGATGCAATTAAAGGAAATCAAAGTGAAGATTGTAGAGTGGAATTTGGGAATTTCTAGGCAGGCCTAGCAAGTGAAGATGAACTATCCAAGGTGAGATTAGAGGAAAAATTGAAGAAAGGTTGAAGAAGGGTAAAGGGGCACGAAATAGAAAGGTGAGGAGCATGAACTATCCAAGGTGAGATTAGAGGAAAAATTGAAGAAAGGTTGAAGAAGGGTAAAGGGGCACGAAATAGAAAGGTGAGGAGCATGACAACAAAGGTGATAAGTAGATGCAAGAGAATCCATCCAGATAAAGCCAATGGAGTCACCTTTCAAATAGAGCAGAAAGAAGAACTTTCATCAAGAGATAATGCCATTTCAACAGGTGGCATCATTAATTGTAATCGAAGATTTATGATGAGATCATGGGAAGAAGAAGTGAAGGAACTCTGGGAAGTGGGGAAGAAGTTAGGTCTAGTCAGAAGGGGTAATGAGGAGGAAATAATCAAGAGGTTAGGTGAGATGGAAAAGAGGGACATGATTGCTCTAGCA